CCCACGCAATGACAATGGTTCCATTGAATAATGCAGTCATTATTATCACAGGCAATCATTGATTAAGTCTCATCACCATTACAAATACAAAAAGATTCACGATAGTTAATAAGTTCTTCTCCAATCGATGTTATATCTGCTAATTTTTCATTAAAGTTCGCCAAGATCTCCGGAAACAACAGCATTCAAACTAGACGCCATTTTCAGCATTTTACATGTGAGGTTCGTCTATTGCTTCTGAACATGCTCCGAATATTACCGAATGCTCGAGACTAGCGTAACCCATTGTACGAAGGTGCTAAGAGCTAACAGAACCAATGTTTGTGAACAAACATTGACAAACGATCATGGGGCAAAGCTAAAACAATAGCGTCGTGGCTCCTTCCGTTAGTACCTTCCATGATTAGACATGAGTAGTTTGTTCCACAGACATGAACTTTATTTCATTTATCTATTTGGCACTCTGATTGGAAAGCCTTATTTTATACTGAAACAAACTGACTATATAAAGACTGTGTTCAGTTTGCCGGATTAGTTTTTGTTGCTATCCCATTACAACTTCTTTTTACACTAACTTTGAAAATACACAAGTTTTGGGATGTCCGAGAAATGAAGTTGGACAGATGAATGGACAGAACCCAAAACATAAGTCCACACTTTGGACTGCGTTTGGACTGAATAGATTGCAATAGCACATGCGAAAATTCCCTGACTGCAGGTGGATCTAACCATATCAAACTTGCAATCCCCCTGATGCTGGTGGGAAACATGGACTGTAGTTCATCCATCAAGTATTTGCATGTATCTAGCTGACATACAAGATTACCATAGACCATCACACATGCCAAGTATTGAATTCAAGTTATAGAGGAACTGAGTATTTATATATAATCCCATAATATTTTCTCTTAGGTAGACACGGGTGATTACCGTCAGAGTTTCGTATCAATCTGAGCTAAAGGCTACTCTGGTGATAATCTGGTGCGTATATGCTGACGTCAACCTCAGAGAAAATATCATAGGATTATAAATTAATCACATGCATAATTCCACAGTGCGACATAGTTACAGCAATTCCAGGCACTGATTTGATGCTGAAGTAGTGCTAGATGTTGATAACTTACTACAATAGGTTATAAACTTTGTTTTCATATTTACAGAAATTGTTACAAATAATGCAGACAACATGTCTGCAATTTGAAGCGAACCGGAAGAAAGCTCCGCCCATAAAAGTGGCGGTATATTAGTTTTGAATTTCTCCTCCAATAAACGATCGAGGCTCTCAACTTAGTTTCATCATGATTACCTCCATGGTTTCATACTTCAATTTGCGTTGCATGTTATTTCAGTGAGAGGGGCGCATAACGTGGTGACACTGTAAAAACCGTTAGTTACCCGTAGAGTTATTTTACAGAACCATCTGACCGACTGACCATGACAGAATTGTTGATCAAAGTGCATTATTCCTACTATGGAAATATGTCCTATGAAGACTTCATCCAGTATATCAATAATGAAGGGAGGGTTGTTTTTGTTGAATTTCCTGTCCGTAAATGCGCGGTCGCAATGTTTTATAATATTCGACATAGTTTATAATGTTGTCAGTTAGTTTTTTAGTCGCGGATTGGTCCCTCTTACTCTTTCTTGGCAGGATACTCTCGGTGGTAAAACCATTTGACGATATTATAAGCTGTCTGCTTTGAAACACCATTTCGATCTCCAATCTCAGCAAATGACAGTCCACGAAAATACAAATCGACAACTCTTGTTCTCACTTCAACTGTTTTGTTGACTCCTTGCTTCTCCGTCGTGGTGTTTAAACAACTTGGACGAATGCCGATTTGTAGACACGCAATCAACACGATGACTGACCAAAAGTGAATATAAAACAGACGCGCCGCAAAGTCTAGGTGTACCTGACTTTGTAGCAAAAATAGAAAACATTATGGGCAATATCTGCCAATCATTCCTCTGATTTGCAGCCGATGTTTATATTTCTAGTTACAACTTATTTAAATTTGAAAACAAAGTGTGTAACCTATTGTAGTAAGTTATCAACATCTAGCACTACTTCAACATCAAATCAGTGCCTGGAATTGCTGTAACAGTGGAACTAGTTGCTGAAATAACACCAAAAAACCTCAGTGTTCTATTTCACATACACTGGATGACAATACAGCTTGTTCATGATATTTATTCAAATTTGTTAGGATTTTTTTAAATTCAACCAAATTTTTTGAAGGACTGAATAATAATGAACTATTTTTACCACAATCTGTACTTAACCCTGGAATATAACCCTGGAATGTTCAGGCAGTGTGTACAATAAAAAAAAGTTGGGCAGTATGTGACATAACACCATGGTGATATTGGTTTTTTATCTGCCCTGTTTTAAGTCACACTGCGGTGATCCGCAAGTTATGCAACTGATAAACTTTTTAATCACTCTAAATTTATTAATCTAGGTAAATAGGTAAATCAGCTTGCAATTTACATATTGTTACGTTTCCAAACTATGCTTCAAAATGATGAGTGCTGGATTTCTTTTATAATTTCAAATGAACTAATAGACGAATGCCAGGAAACACTTTATTTCTGACCAGCCTAGTAGTAGGAATATTAAATGATACAGGTGAAATCAATTAGACTTACCTCATTCCAAAACACAATGACAATAGCTGAGATGAAAATAACTAAACCAAATCCAGTTGTACCAAATGTTCTGCCAATCTGTTCTAATAACCGAGCTAGTTTTGAGTAGACTGCTTTATTTACTTGATTTCTGGCACCTTGTGGGTGGTACACCAATGGATTGTGCATTCCTGGTGCATCTGGATACTGTCAATATAATGGCAATTATTATGCGCCTAACGAAGTATTCAATCTCAAGGACCATACAATAATTTAGTTAAAATCTGGTGTGACATCAAGCAATTATGACAAATTTTTGGGAATAAAATTACTATATTACCGGTAATATTAAAGGGTTGGGGGGGTCATCGTGCCATGCATGCATGAGATAGGGGTCTCATACAAACAAAGATGGTGACTTTGATTGTTACACAGCCCAACATGTACAAATTGAGAGGTCACAAAGCTTTAATTATGTAATTCTTTTGGTGATAGTAACATATCGAAGGAGACGTCACCGGTGGTAATTAGTGCAAGTTGCACCCTGGTCAAAACTCATTGGATTGTGGGAAAATCAATGTTTATCAACACAAATGACACAAATGCACGGCACGACAAGCACCGCCCTTTAAAAGATAATAATTTTATTATTATATGCCAGAATGATATCACACATGTGATTCTATCCAGCAAAAAAAACCATGCACAACACACTAGACAAAGACAGCTGGAAAATATAAACATGGAAGGACATGTACAATTAAAACTATAGCTTTCCTCAAATCAAATAATTTATCACAGTGTCTAATCAGCGAACTTATTATTTATTTTTTTAGTAGTCTGAGATCAATATGATGTAAAACCCTGAAATATAATATTTTAGAAATTACTACACCTGAAAAATCATGAAACAAAATATTGTGATATTTTGTTTTTTTTAGTTGAGACTAATTATAAGGTGAACATTACCTTCCTGATGCGGAAAGCTGCCTGATTATAGATACAAAAAGACTGACAACGGCTTTTTTAGACAAATACATCCTTATATGTATCCATAATATATATTAAATATTAAATTCATATTTCATAAATAATCAATGTACCATGTGTTTTAGACAATAGTCGAAGATGAACGTGAATTATAAAATAATTATAAAATATGAATTTGAACAATTAAAATCTATGAACATATTCACAGTGGGACTGATTAGGCACTCTCTGACGCGATTGGTATTTGTATTTCACGTCCATCTTATTAAAAAAAATATGGTCCTGCAGACGACTGTTATCAGTAATGAAGGAAGGATTGAGCACACGTGAGACTATGAAAGGAGTGTCAAGCGGTAGCTTCATCACACAACAACAACAACAACAGCAACACAGTATATATGATTGGTACACATGCAACTGAAAACTTGGACTTTTGAAATATGAAAATAACATGCACGACTTAAACACGATCGTGTACACGACACACACACGCTAACACAAAACAGATGATGTAACTGTCACCTCTTCGTCACCACTCGTCTCACTTCCTTCCATGTTCTACGGCTAGTTTAAGAAAACATCAAATAATAGAGAGTACTTTCAGTGAAACGAAAAATATCTACCTACATTTGCTCGATACATGCCGAATATCAATCAATGAATTCCGTCAATTTTACACAAAGGTCGACACCAGAGGGCGTGCTAGTGATTTGGCTGCCGCGAAAGCTGTCACAAATGGCAAGGGTCTATAATTCATGGGGGGGGGGGCTAAAAGATTTGTTTCGAAGTATTTTCTCGGGGTACGTGTCAGGCGTACCCAGTTGACCACCACTAAGTTTACGGGTTTGTGGTGGCAAAGTGAGTGAGTGACAAACTTGCAAACCAAAAACTGTTTATTTGATTCACCACCTCGTGGGAATAATAATAAAATTCTTTTATTAGTATAGCAGTCAAAAGATTACAATTCATTGGTTAGTTTATAATAAAATGAAATATAATATAAAGTATAAAACATGGCCATTTTGTAAATGCATTTCTGAGTGCATAAGTAAGCTTAAATGACTGTGGTCGTCACGCTGCGCATGTGCGACATTTGTGTTGATAAACATTGATTTTCCCACAATCCAATTCGCTCTTCTAATGGAAATCACAAGTTTGAGGTTTGACCTGGGCGCGACTTGCACTAATTACCGCTAGTGACTCCTTCGATACCTTCCAATCACCTGAAACATACCTAATCAAAGCTTGATAACGTCTCAGTTTGTACTCATTGATCTGCAGTCAAAGTCGCCATCTTTGTTTATACGAGACCACGGTATGAGACCCACATACCTCGCGCATGCGTGGCGCGACGACTACCGCATTTTAAGTAAAGTTGTTATATTGTGTTTAATTTCATTGTATATAGTCTCAGATAACAATGTCCTTTTCTTCTGAGATATAGTTAACGATAAAATATGATCACGTGTTCTAGTTTCATTATTATAATGAATTATAATGAATGTCCATGTTTGATGGGGGGTCTGGTCACTCGTCAAGTTGACCCCATAGAAGCAAATACACTAGAAATATTGTCATGAATACAGCACTGTCGCCTTGTCCAGAATAATCAAGGGAGATTAATGGATGCAAGCATATCTCCTATTAAAGTAAATACTGTGTCTGCCTAAAACTTTCTTTGGTTGCATACAGTATTCATGACACTCTCTCCGATTAATTACATAAATCGTCAACATAATGAGGCATGTGAATATCTGTCGATTTTTTTGGAAAAACTTATAAATAAATAATAATTGTAATTGCATATCAATAACCAAGTCCACATAAGTAGCGATGTAATTGATCAGTACGCCATGGGACACGTAGCGCTTTACAAAGGGATTGTATGGATATTATATTTCCCATCGTAACTAGAGGTGACAAATTCAAGTTAATTAATTCTGGGTGGTATAACCGATCATATGGGTCCCATGCGACGAATACAGTAACAGTACGTGTAAAATGCTAGTACATTCGTGTAACTGCTGTCTGTACTGTGTAGTATTTAGTTATAGTAGACTGCACGGGTCTTCGTAAAGCAGATAGCCAACAATCTTGCTAGGAAGTGTGAAGCAATCAACTGCGTTGATATATCTCTTTCCATAATACTCTCTCAGCGAACACCTACACTGATGCTGGAGGGATCGTGGCTTCTCGTTTAACTTGTCTATTTCCGAGCATAGGTTCAGATATTCAGCGGAACTCGACACAGAGGCATTGGGGAGTAGTTCACGTTCGACACTTTCAAACGATATGTTAAAATTCCAGTTACGAAATACGTTCACTACGAGTCCAAGTAATTTCACGGAGTTCCTCCATGATAAGACCACTTCCAACATCAATTTGTCTCTCGTATTTTTGAATATCGCCCCCTGGCTGATCATTTTAACAATCGCCGCACAGGACATATGACGACAAGGCAGGATCTGATGACCGAATGAATCTGTGTGATGCGCAGAAGTGAATTGTTGTAGAGCTCGGAATGCGTGGTAGTCATGGCAACTATTCGCGTCTTTATAGTATAGATACAAAAACACATCCAACGTAGTGTTACCACAGCAATCTACAGCATTAATATCATTGATAAGGTCAATGTAAAGATTTAACAATTCAAAATCGCTGGGAAACAAAAAGTGTTGAAGCAAGTTTTGCTTATAGCGGTTGACTGTGTTTACGTCAGCACCACTTCGAATCAGATATTTTATACACTCGAAGCTCCCGCGAATTTTTTGGGCGTAGAATAACATCGGTATGTCCATCTTCTCGCCGCACATGGCATTGACATCTGCTCCGTTATTTATCAACGTTTTTATAATATTCATGCCGTCACGTGACCGACTTTCGTGGTCAACAGCGACATGTAACGGCGTGAAGCGCTGGCCACACTTTCTAATATTAACGTCCGCGCCATACTTTACCAGTAATTTTATGATGTCGCACCGCCTTTTGACGATTTCAGCATTGGGTAGTTTATCACGAGCCGTAGAGTATAAACTATCGAATTTATTGTCCAGTGTACGCATCTCTATTACTAAGAAGAGGAGCTCGTCTTCAGTCCGAGCGCCATTTTCCAATAACAACTGAACGGCTTTCACGTTAAAAGTTCGACAGGCGCAATATAGCGGCGATGCACGATGGCTTACAGTATAGCGATAACTTTCCCTGTATACCGACTTTCC